CCGTTATACATACAGGGACTGAAAACAGGAACATAATTTCATTCTTAAAATATAAACTTCTTGATGTTCCTCATAAAATATTTTAAAACCTGCTTATTTATCCTTAAGTCAAAGTTGAAGTCATTAAGAATGAGCCGATCGAGGTAATACTTTGAAAGCATAAATCTGTACAGAAACATTAGACTAATATTTTGAGCGGGTTTTACTGCCTATACCATGCCACGAGTTTGCTTTCAAACAAAACATCATCTTACGCTGAGTTCGTGTGTGGACAACAATGACCTGTTCAAACGTAATATATTATTGATACACCTCATTAGCTGTACACCCTGCTATATTCTTCGTCTAACTAAGAACTCCCAGTGTGTATGCGTGTGTACATATGGTCATAAACGCTCTATCTACTCTACACTAGTACCAATAAGCTCACGATTTGTGCGCTTAGCTAGAGCATGTCTCAGAAAGAGAGCATTAGGAACCAAAATTGGTTCAACCCTGTGATAATACAGTATTTCTATATCCCCATAAATATGTGGATGAATGCAGAGTAAATGAAAGCTCTTTAACGAAAAGCTCATATGATGCAGAATGTTTTCTGCAGAGTAAATGTGTTTCGGCATCGTGCTCAGGTTTATTCCAAGGCCAATTACTGTCCCTATGAAAGAGTTCTTTGAAGGGCCGGCTTGATGACTTATCACGCAGGATTGCGTTTAAGAGCCCTAACGTGAAAATTTTTAAACTTTAAACCACTTTCTTTAAAAATGCTTACCTTTATGTTCTTGAAGGTCAAAATTTCAAGCTTGCGGTAATAGCGTAATAGTTACCACAAAGACAAGCAAAAAACAGCGGTAAATCAAAGAATGGCAGGGCTTGGACCAATATCCCTGGGCAAAACTGTAGAGCACATGCATTACACCGTTACCAATAATTTTGAAATAAACAGCATTGAAAGAACATCTGAGATATTTCAAAAGTAAATGCAACAACTTTTTCATGCATGTTTATTGTGGCAGTTGCTCTCCTTACAAAATTGATGCATTTTATGTTAATGAGGCGTGGGCTGTTTTTGTCTTTCGTCGATACATCAGTATTCTGATTTCAAGAGCGTTAGGTAACACAATAAATTCGTTTTACTTTATCATTCTAGTGTGCTGAATGTAATCAATTCAATTCAGTGGTTTAACAAAATAAACAGCTTTCAAAACTTCCGCATGTTTTCTAACATTAGACCCTAGTTTCAAAGTGCTTTTATCACCAGTTTACAAAGGTAGCGGAGTTTTGGAAGTTAACCCACAAAAAACAAAGATTAATTCTTTACACATTTCAGTAACTGAAAATAATAATTCCTTATTTTGACTTTACCTTATAAAAGGGTCTCGTTCCTCTGCTGTTAAACGCCTTTAGATGCAAAAATTCAGTGAATCAAATTGGATGATTTCCAACTTATTGGTGAAGCTGCAAAACAGCTGGAAAGAATGACTCTTGGCGTGAAATTAAAAAATCGACTCTTTCGTGCGTTGAGAAGATTCTTTAACGAGCAGCTGAATATCATTTCCGGCTCTTGAGCTTAGGAGGAGATTAATAAATGAAAACACGTTGTGGTTTATCTTGGATTTAATTATTTATTTGAACCTTCTCGGAGGGCTTTTAAAACAAAAACGATCGTGATAACAAAAAAACTCGATAAATACTTTCAAATAGAGAAGTATAACAGTGTTTTAAATGTTGTGACAAACCCTTGAGTTAAGTTTGAAGCAATATTTGCAAAAAGAAGTCCGTGATAATGTCATTTATTTGTTGTTTATCGGTATAGTTTTACATATAAATTCCACTTTAATGAGCTGAAGATCTTTTTACACAAAAATGTGAATAATTTGTCATCTAAAAAAGTTTTTCAGTTTTCGCTTCGGCCGAATTTAACCAGGAAAAGCCAGCGCATAATTTAAATTGTTTAAAATGTTCAAAGTTCAGAACTAACCGTTTTTAGACTACTAATATACAGAAAGAAATTCTAAATGATTTGTAACTTGATCTAGAGCGGATGTGGCAAGGATTTTAGTTGTGCTGCCAGTAAAGAAAATTATTTCCAAGTAAGTATCTTCAACAAGTACGACGTGGGCTTACTATTTCATCGCAGTAATTCCCAATACAATGGGTGTATAGGACAAAAAATTCGTCGTCAGAAAAAGCTAGAAACTTTCCTAGAACAACTTGAAATCCTTTTTAAAAACCAAGCCTAAGAACAATCTTTCCTTAAGCTAAAAAAGCTCATCATTGCATCCTGACTGAATATCATTATAATTTATCAAAGAATTGCCTTTCCCCAGATTTCATAAGCATTTCAAAATATTAAGCAATAGCAGTAAACAGTTCATTCGACAGAAAAAAGAAAGAAGATTTTTCACTAATACTCCTGTTCTCCGTTGGTTGGTTTGTGGGCGTTGATGTTACAAAGGTTATCAGATGAAGACACTCTGTAAATTATGCTTGAAGTGTGATCAAACGTTATTTCAAGAGGATGCGATAAAAGTTCCGGGCAGTCTCAGCGAAGAGTGTGTTGCTCCTATAAAATCATAGTCAAAGCCAATTCTTTTTCCATAAAAAACCTGAGTAAAACATGCGAAACTGGGGATTAAAATAGTCAATTGTATGAATATTGAATATTAGACATGGTTACGCATCAGAGCAGCATTACAAAACTAGGGTAACTCAAGGTTTCACTAAGCACCGAAAATGAAAAATAAATATATGACCACTTCAGCTGAAAACGAATTGCTGCCTTTTAGCATACCAAACATCTTTACCACCCACAGATTTATGTGGAGGCTTAATACTTTTGAAATGTTTGTATGCAAACTTACAGCCAGTATCCATGTAATAATCGAACATTATTTTGAACAACATGTAGATGATCCTGTCCTCTACTTCAGATACCGCGACTCGCCCAATATAGTGTATTGTACTAGCCATTGTTTTCACAAGAGTTGTTTTTCGTTGAAATTATATATCAATACAAAGAATTTCGCCAATAACGAGAAAAAATATCGTGCTTACCCGAGCTAGGACGTAGTCAATCAGTGTTGAAAATTTAGCCAATCACTCACAAAGAAACCGTGGTTTTTCTCGTTTGAACGCAGTTGGACTGTGTTCTAAATTAAGCCAGTTAATATCAAAGAAACAGAGCTTTTTCAAATCAGACCGCTGATCAGAATTCAAAATTGAGCCCGAACTACGAACAAAGGAGTATGCTTTCCCCATCACACGCAGAGCGTAACTGATCAGTTTTAAAAATTGCAATTGGGTGAAATACAAGCAAAGTGCTGTGCTCTTTCTTGCCAAACATAGTTCGGAAGTTTGGTTGACTGCTTTCTCTAGTTCGTTCGTAACCGACCAGTATAAAAAATTGAACCAACAGAGGATTGAACGATGAAACCGTGCCCTCCCTCACTAGACGCAGCTAATCCCTGTTTAAAATTTAGCTCAAACTCCAAATTTTACGGAACCGTCTTTTCTCTAATTAGAACACAAGTTATCAGTACCGAAAATTGAACTTATTACTAAAAGAGGAATCGTGCCTTATCTAGACAGAACGTGACTAATCAATAGATCTTGGATCACACGTAACCTCTCCTTTCGTCAAGAACATAGAATGTCGTGGTGGTATACTGGAAAAAAAAGACTTAATAGCGCTCTCGAATGCTTGTAAGAAGCTAGTGCAGAGTACAATCACCAGAACACCCTGTTCCAGGGCTCAGCTTTGTCTAAAGGCGCGTTGCTATTATTTTTCAAAGGAGGGGGGGGGGGGGAAGGGGGCTTCTCATTGTTTTACACCTAAAATAACAACTCTACTGCGTATTGATATCCACGCTGTGTTTCAGTTTGTTGGCTAAGTCGTAACTGACTCATACATGATTAACGTCGTGTTGACTCTTCAGAATTGCGCCTTTTGTCCTTTAAATTTCAAGGTTTGTACGTACGTAGTTGAATTGAAAATAGTGCTGAAATAATCCATGGGCAAGGGAAGAAGTTCGTTCAAGCCCTCATCCCCCTTCCCCTCCCCCTCCCCCTCCCCCTCCCTAGCTCTGCTCCTCAGACAGAAAAGTATCTGAAAGCTAAAATCAAAGAAAAATTGATAACAATTGACAAGCCCTGGTTATAACTAAAACGAACCAGTTTCCCTAGACAGTACCCGTCGTCCAGTTTTTCTTAGTTCATACTTTAGTAGCCGCCTCTTGCCTGGTGCCGCTTTTTCAAGCACTGGTGCTAGAGATATCTGCCATCATACAAATACACTTCTACTTGTTATTAAGAGTTTGATTTTAAGTTGAACTAATCCGCCTCACATACGGAATTGATCTCAGAGATCATTCGGATATTTCGGCCGCCTTGTTTTAGAATCTCTATTTACATATCATTAAATAACAAAAACAGAAGAAATTGAAGGTGATACATCTGAGTGTTTTCGTAAAACTCCCTAGCTAGTTATATGGCTGCAAATATATTTTGGGTCATTTGTCAAGTATTTATTGCCGCAATGTTTCATGGAATGATCATTGATGACCGTGTAATCTCAAGTTGCATCCGCTGAAAAAAATTTAGAACTATTATAGAATGCTTGTAGTTTTCTTTGTCTGTGCACGACTTGCGCGTCAACTGAATATAATAAAACAGTAAAAACGCAAAACACACATTCCAAAAGGCACCTTGTGACCAGTGCTTCAGGCTGATTTATTCTAATTAATTTGGGTTTGTTCTTATTGGAGCTTTCTACTTTATGATATGAACTAGGCTGTATAACAAAAAATTTCATTTCGGTTCGAGCAGTGGTTGTCCACAATTAGGAAGATCATTATCACGGTACTCAAATGTATGTTACATAAGACATCGTTAGGACCCCTCCTAGATGCGTGCATATAACCGCGCTCGAAGTGCATTGTTGATCGGCGCTATAATTTTTTTTTTGCTTGGTAGCCTGGCCAACATTCTATGTTTCTATTTACAAACGAGACAAATTCCAAAATTATCCAACAATCGTTGGTTATTCACACTTGTTATTCAGTGGTCTAGACACAGAAGCTTGATGAGATCGTTTTGTTATAATCCATGACTCGTGAATGCGGAGGAAAAGAGCTTTTAAAGTTTAGAGAACGCTGGGATTTGTCGCTGTTTTAGAGAAAAATTGAAAGTTATATTCGACCCACCATGCCGATTTTAGCAGGTCAGAGCAATTAAATTGAATTTTATCCGTTTTGGAGACACATGTTGAGAATCGAACTATAGTTGAAGGTTATGTTGTGATGTTGTTTAAATTTTTTGCAGCTTTATGAAAATCATACTGTTTTCAAGTCGGTACGATAAGATATTTCTGGTTCGATTTACGTTAATGCCGCTTAAATACAAGGTCATTCCTGAGCTAAGATGTCACGATTGTGTACATCTATCTCCTCCAGTGCGCCGCACAAATTGTTCGTCGATTTCCACGTTGAAAGTAACATAAGTAATTTTCAGGGTTGTATTGTGTCTTGCTTTCGAAACTACCCTGCATTTAAAGTTCCGTGAAGTTTATGCACGATTTTGTTGCAGTCAAGGTAGTATACATTCCATACATATTTCAGCATTAGTTAAATGATAATAACATCTTGCATTGGTCACAAGGGTCTGGAAATTTCGCTCTTTGTGATCGCTGACCCTCTCTGAAAAAACATTTCCTAGAGTTAACAAGGTTTGATGTTGCAGTCATGATTATTATTAGTACCACTGTGATTAAAAAAAAAAAGTGAATTTTTCTGTTTTTTTGCAATCGTCTTTCAACAGATACATCTCGTGCTGCAGAAATTTTAGATGGTCTTCAACAGAAGCTCAAGTCTCAAGGAGACACAGAGAACGATGAAGAACTTGAAAGGATCAAACAGATGCTCGAAAGCCCTCTGTTTAGACAACTTTTGATGATTCAGCAGTCAGTGAAAGAACTGAACAGGAAACTTACACATTCACCACCAGATTCAGTAAAGGATTTTGACTTCTCTCCCACAGGAGAGCTTGTATTTCCACACCATTCTGTATCAGACAGTGAAGAGGTGGCAGTTATAAATGCACCACCTTCTACAGCAGGCGTGTTCAATCAAGAACCCAATCACTATGAATCAGTCACAATGGATGATCATTCAGAGGATTGGCTGAATGCATCATCATCATACCATTATACATCCACTGACCCTGCCGTTGAAGCAGACTATGATTTAACCATTGACAATCGAGATCAAGTCATGGCAGAGCTTAAGAAGTCCAAATTTGCCAAAAGTGAAGACTTTCAAAAAGGGATAGAAACGCTGGCACAGGGTCGTGAAATTGAAACAGTGAAGTTGATGAAACCAGATCAAGGTGGTTTGGGTTTCAGTGTTGTGGGACTGAAGAGTGAAAATCGAGGAGAGTTGGGCATCTTTATTCAAGAGATACAGCCTGATGGTGTTGCAGGAAGGTAAATCTCTTTAACCCTTTCCACCCTAAGATCAAAATGCATATTCTCCATTCTACTCTCCATATATTTCTTAAGGTGCTGACAAGGAGAATTTGTTGAATAATCGAGAGCTTTCTTATTTGGTGATCATATACTTTATTCTCGTAATCTGAATGTTTTTTTCAGGGGTGATATTGTAAGGAGAAATTAGAAGCTTTTAGTTCTAAAAAGTCAAAGAGTTAAAACAGGTGGTCTATATGGTTAGATTTGTTTAAAGGTTTATGAAAACCCTAATAAAGATCAGGGTTGCTCTATAACTAGCTAAACTAAATACTCTTGATCAATAAATGAATTATTTAATGGCCAAGAGTACAAGTGTATTGTATATGAAAAAATTCACAAAACTCTTGGCTGTGTAAAGTGCTGGAAACCATTCTTTGTTTAAAAAAAAATAAAACTACAGTTTCCTTTGAATTATACATATAGCTGAAACTAGTAACTACATAAAGCATTGTCTTGCTCTGCCAGATCAAAGTTGGCTTGCCTCGCCTATTTGGCAGTCGATAACATTACAGGATTCATTGTATTGTACTTGAGGATCCAGTTATATTAGAAGTGCATGCACATTAACATAGGAAAACAGGTTTAAATATATATAGATTTATATACACATACATGCTGTAAACAGGTAGTAGAATTCATACTTTACTTTTATTCTCAGGGATGGAAGGTTGCAAGAAAGTGACCAGATTCTTGCCATAGATGGCAAACAGCTCGACAGCGGAATGACTCATCAGCAGGCCATTGGAGTTTTGCAGCAAACTAGTGGTGAAGTTGAACTGATTGTTGCTAGAGGTGGAATTCCACGCTCAAGGAATCTGTCACGCACTACTTCGGGAGCAAGTTCAGCATTGTCACGGACACCTTCAGATGTCAGTACTGTCTCACATACATCTGTGACAGTACCTGTAAGTAGACCATCAAAATATTATTACTCTAGTGATACACTTATTCAAAGGTTGATAGTATTTTATTTTAAGTGTACGTTAGACATGACACAGGACCTTGCAATTGTCAAGTATTTATGCATACAGTAGTTTTGACATTTGCTAATCCTAGCAGTATCAGTGCTCTCCTCAGATGTTTTAGTTGCCAACCATGAAAAAATCTAGCTAGCAAGCAAAGGGTCAAGATATATTTTACATCAAGGCAGGTGTTTTACTGCCTTGTCTGATGGTGTTTTGGAAATGGGAAGACTGCAAAAACACATGCATGCTTCTGGAGAGCACTAAGTATGCAAGACACCTGTTATGCATGTAAATTTTATTTCAACCTAGTAATGGCCTGCAGTGGCTCAGTAACCATTAATCCCCAAGATCTGATTGTTAATTCTCCCCTATTGGTGCTAAACATTTCCTTGTAAATTAGTCATGAGAATATGTGGCTAGATCAAGATACCTGTAACATCTACCTGTTAAGTTAGGAGGTATTCTCATCACTTGTTTTTTGGATAATATATGGACATTATAGGGAGAGGTAACATGTTGATCACTTTTGGGAGTGAAAAGGTTTCTGAGTTTATGGTACCTCAAAGGCCATGTGGTATTAAAAGCTCTGAGTTTCAATTTTCATCGGGCCTCATGCTTGTGACCAAAATATAAAATTACAGCTATTTTTATCTATAATGCCTTTTTCCTTTTTAGGCTGGGGATGGAGAGAACTTGCGACACATTGAAACTGTTGAGCTCCACAATGACGGGTCAGGTCTGGGGTTTGGTATTGTGGGTGGAAGGAGTACAGGTGTTATTGTGAAGACCATCCTTCCCAGAGGTGTCGCCGATAGGGTATGTACTTGTATATACTAATGAAGGTGATGGAAAGTTTAATTGCTGCATTAGGCACAATGCAAGGTGAAATGATTTTTATCATGCAACCCAGAAAAGGTAGGAAGCTTCAAGTTGTGTGAAAAATTAATTGATGTATTGCAATAATTTCATTGTTTTCTTGCCTGGAAAGGCTGGAAACTACACTCTATATTCTTGATCCCCAAAATTCTCAAGCATCAAGGATCAAGTTTTGAGGAACTGGCAACTTACACTATACATGTACCTTTGAGTGGCGTTGTACATATACAGGATACTACAAGAATCAACAAACATTAGAATTGGCCCCTCCCTTTCCTTTTTTTTCCAACCCAACCAAGGTCATCTGTATTATTTTGAGTCATTTGTTTTTCTTTTGTGAACAGACATAAGAATGACAAAACAAGGTGCAAGCTAGTTACAGAGTACATCTCTGTGCTGGGTACTTTTGTTGTTGCCATCTTTGATTTCAGTTGACACTAGTCATCTTTATTTTCTTGTTAACAATTTAGGATGGGAGATTGCGCAGTGGTGATCACATTCTTCAAATTGGAGAAGTAAATGTTGGCGGTATGGGAAGTGAACAGGTTGCCCAGGTTTTACGTAAAGTTGGACAGCATGTGAAACTTGTTATTGCTAGACTGGTAACTGATGAATCCAACATTGATGCTTCCTCCACAGTAGAGGTAAGAATTATAACAATTGCAGAGATACAAATTGACAAATGGTAGCCTGTTGGTTCCCCTTCCACTGCCAAGAATGACCAAAGAGGAATTTCTCACTAAAGTATTTGTACATTTTCAAGCAAGAGAGTGACAAGAAGGAAGTAAAATGTCAACAAGAGGATATTATTTCATGTGACACCAAATTCTCTGAGTGAAAATTGTGCCAAACTTATGGCAGAGGATGCAGAGAATTGATAAATTTTGATAGTGAGAAATGATCCTCTTAGACCCTCTGGTACTCTTGCCTTAATGATCTCATAGACATCAAAAATTTTTAATTCCTTATGTCTACAAAATGAGCATTTTGATGTTTTAAATTGTAAAGGAAGGCAAAGATGTGGAAGCATTTGATGTTGAACTGGTAAAGGACAGCAGAGGCCTGGGAATAACCATTGCTGGATATGTCGAGCAGTCTTCAAGTAAGTTTGCGTGATATATGTTCCCATGGTGATCATAATAATATGATCAGTCCTACTTTATTAAGTGTTCAGCTGCTCTCTGAACTCCTGATTTTTTTATTATTAAATTTTTATTTTTATTGATATTTATACCTTTAGCGGAATTGTCAGGAATTTTTGTAAAAAGTATTGCAGAAGGAAGCACTGCTGCTGTCGATGGAAGATTAAGGATTAACGACCAAATCATTGAGGTATGATACTAGTGCCAGCCATAATGTTTATAGGCTTCATTTATAGAGTGTAACTCTTGTCCATGGTAGAAACACTGAAAAAAACCTGTGGCCTCATTCAATTATCTCAAACAAAAGTTTCAAGTGAAGTGGGGGTAGGGGTTTTGTATGGGGAGTGGCTACAGCCTCCACGGCATCTGCTCCACCTGGCTATGAGAGACCCTTCCTTATTACCTGCTGCTCATTGCTAAGTGCTGTTCCTTGTCAAATTCCTGTGCAGGTTGATGACGTTAGTCTGCATGGTAAAAATAACCAACAAGCTGTGGAAATTCTGAAACAAACTGGACCAGTTGTTCGACTGAAGGTAGCTCGGCATGTCAAGCACCGCCTCAGTAGACAACAGACTCCCGTTGGTAAGTTACATTTTACATAATTATCACTGTGCATTTTTTTTTAACATTGGTCTAAAGATAATTTATTTCTACTATTAAGTAATTGAATAATTAAATGGTACCTATGTCTTACACAGATGAGTATCATCCAACTACATCACTAAGTGCCCAGTCTAGTGCAAGTCTAGCAGAGTCTTCAGTGAAGCGCCTGAATTCGGCTGCTTCTGAAGGAAAGCATCATACTGGTAAGTTAATCAAGTTCACAGATGTGTTATGTTTGTGTTTATGTTTATTTGTTTGTTTTTTGGGGGTGATTTAGTGTTATTAACTGAGTTTATAAATGTAAATTCGCTACCATTAAGAAAATTCAGTCAAACCTTTACAAACCCTTTAATTCCCATGAGTGACCAAGACAGAATTTCTCCTTACAATATCAATACAATATTAACCAGATAAGTGATGAGAATAAAGAAAAATATCAATTTGGGGATAATTACTTGATCCAATACTAAATTCTCTAAATTAATATTATTGATAAGAATTGTATGGTTGACAGTAACAAGAATTACAAATTCTGGGAGTCAAAGAGTTAAGCAGTATTGTTTTAAGTTGTTGGTTTTCAAAGTCCTGAAGTTTTTACCCCTTAATTACTTTAATATCACCTTTATAAAGCAGTCACCTCTATTAGGTGGTCATGGTCACCCTTAACCTCTAACCCTCAGAGGTGATTCACATGTAACTTCTCCCTACAAGATACATCCAATATCCAGCAAATGGGTAATGAGAGTACTTCAAATATATCAGGCAGTAGTTGTTATCTTGATCTAACACCAAATTCATGCTACTAATTTACAAGGAAATGTGTAGCAGCTAGAAGGGAGAATTAACAATCAGATCCTGGGAGTTAAAGGGTTAACTGAGTTTGAGCAGCCTGTCACTTAAAGCAGAACCACTCAGATAAAAAAAAGTAAACTTTGATCCATAATTCTCTCTCAAAATCAATGTTGGTAATATTTTTGAGTGAATTTTTGTACAATAAGTAGTCAATTTTGGCTTTAAATGACCTATTATAATATTATTGTTTCTCTATAATGGGCTCATTGTGTGAAACTGTATTAAGCAGTCAAACTGTTTTAAACAGTCACCATGTCATTCTCTGCATGTGACTACTTAATACAAGTTTCACTATACAGGCTACTTTCTCTCTCTCAACAAATCTAGTACAAAACTTGAACCAATCACCAGCTGGTGACCTATTTTTCTTCCCACTTTGTTTATTTTTGCTTTGTGGTCTCATTAGCTTCTTGTGATAGATTCCTGTTTTGATTTTTGATGTGAATGGCATTATAATTACTTTGTTTTGGTTTTGCAACACTCAGATAGGCCATTTTACAGTTGTGCACTTGATGTAGTTTCCAAGCCTTTGATTTAGGGTAAGGCTGAAGGTGACCTTGCTGTGATAGAGACCAGTATCTGGTTAGCATGATAACAGAGTCATTCACATTTGAAAAACAGCAAGGTTTGTATCATAAAAAGGTCACCCCAAGCCTCACTCCCAGGAGGCTGAGCACACAACTGTAAAATGGACTGTTGCTCGATGCAGCAACTGACTCTCAATCTGAAGTTAGAACTCTGTGTATTGGCGATCTTTCAAGAGTTTACATATATGTATCAATAAACAGACGAAAAGGTAAATTTAGAATGTTTGTTTGTTTTTTTCAGATCCAGAAAATGTTAAAGAACATTACAGCCATTTGGTTGGAGACGGTGTGGATGTTCTGGTTGCAGATATTTCCAAATTCCACGAAGGAGGCGGCCTGGGGATCAGTTTAGAAGGAACACAGAATCCACACGGTAAAATCTTTTTCGGAATCAGGTGTAACCTTCTCGGTCCCAAGAGTGACCAAAACCGAATTTCTCCATACAGCATTAATACGTTTTCCAGCAGAATGATGAAGAGAATCTCAAAAATATCAGATAGGGGATAATGTTTGATAATGACTTAAGCATTAAATTTTAAGTGCTAAATTGTTAGAAATTTAGGAGAGACAATGGGGAGACTTCACTATGTGGGACACAAAATAAGCTTTTGTTCAGATGTAAGCGTTCCTTTTTGTCCAAAACAAAACTGTCAAATTAAAAAGAACTTGCTAAAATTCAGCAACCTCAATCCTTCGCTCGCCAGTAATGCATACTTACGATTGAAAATAGACTGGTTGTCTCAACAACGATATATTTTATGGTGAAGACAAGGGAAAGTTTTTATTATTAAAAGACTCATTTGGTGTTTTTTTAAGATGGTTCCCTGCCATGGCACAGAATCCATGCTGTTAGTCCTGAGGGACCGGTGGGTCAGAATGGAATTGTCAAACCCGGTGATCATCTGGTCGAGGTACAGTATGGTGTAAAGTTGCTTGTACTAAAGCTTGCTGGGTAATTTACATTAAGCAAAGAAGATTCGTTTGGACGAGTAAATTAGGAGCAGATGTTTGGTTGTGTTCTTGACATGAATATTGCCTGTCAAGGGCAGGGCTCCTGAGTAGCTCGTCTTTTACAGCTTCCATTGCGCGAATGTTAAGAACAATGAAAAAGAAATATTTTAGCGCCATGAACTTTGTTCCTAGTCTATCTTGAATTAAAAGCGTGAATTAGCTTAACACATTTATTACTACACTAGAATTATAATAAGTGATACGCTTAAAGAAAAACCTTGCAGGTCTAAGTCGACCTTTGCTTTATTCTGTTTTCTGAAAGGAGAGCCATTCTTAGATTACATTTGTGTATGAAACTGCGACGTTAATTTTTTGCGTATATTTAAACATAGTTAGTGATAATTTTTGCACCATAAATTGTATTTCAGTGTTTTTCATCTGTGTATGACACTTTCTTGAAATTTTAAGGTAAATGGTGTCAGCGTTCTAGAGATGAACCATTCTGACGTTGTCACGCTCATACAAGGATTGCCCGTGGACTTCCGACTGGTTGTTGCCAGAAATCGAGATTCTGCGGACGAGGAAGTCATCGCAGCAGAGACTGGAATGGAGGTGGAGAGTCAACCAAATGAAACTGAAAGAGAAGGTATAAGATGGAAAGAGAATTTGATAAAAGCAAATTACATTGTACGATTAAATCGCGGATCTCGCATCGCGCCCCCAGCGTAGCCCTATACGTACAAAATATGGTAGTAACAGGAGTGATTCTGGGATAGCAATGCTTTTTCCTCGTGATTGGTCTAGAAAACTCGCGTTGCCTCCCAGACTCAACTTATCAGATGCAACATAAAGCCCAGCGTGATATGGTCAATTCATTTTCCCGCGCGTTCCAGGTAGTTTGCTTGATTTTTCTTTGGCTTCTCATTGGCTCCTTTCAACACTTTTCTTGTCTGAGAAGGAGCGACTCTTCACTTCACAGTCTCTCAAGTTTTTCCTCACTCTCGCATAATTTTTTGCTCTTCCCTCCAAAATTGATTTCTTTGCTTTTGGCATCACAACCCTCACTCGAAAAGTGGTCTTCGATGAGATACTGTTACATATAGCCCCGTCGGTTCTCATCGTAATGTTTAATCTTGTTTTACTTTTCAGATAATCCTTACGAAGAGATTGCCATAACAACTCCTAGTCCCATGTTGTCAGCCTTGCCTGATAGCCCCAGTCCCACTGGTCTCAATGAGTCCGCTATGTCTCAGCCCATGTCCATGTGGTCCGATGAGATCGAATATGTTGAGCTGGACAAGGAGGACAGAGGACTGGGATTTAGTATCCTGGATTACAAGGTGAGTAAATTCGCGAATCGATATTCGAGAATCGCGAATTGAGGTCCGAGAATCGAGTTTCGGGAGGCTCGAGAACTTTTCGAGGATTTCGATCTACGGTTTCAAAGAAACGATTTTATTCTTGCTCGTAGTGCAGTAGCTAAAGACAAAGTGCTTGACACGCTTTTGAAAAATATAAAAGAGCTTACAAATACTTTCGTCAAAAATATCCCTAGAGGGTTAAAAGTCATGGTCTTCTGATTTCGCTGACAACTACTGTAAAGAGTAATTGTCGGTTTCTATGTGACAAGCCTCTTCTACACAGTGAGGATCAAAAGTTTTCGAAGCATTTTGTGAAATAATAATTGAAAAAGATCGGTTAATTTTGAAATTTTTTGTCAAGTTAACACAGATGTCGAGCATTTGTCTCGATTTATTTCGAGATTAGTTTCTTATAGTTAAGGAATATCGACATATAATTGATACAAAACACTATTATCGAAAATTAACTTTTTGTAGAGTAAACCTAACGTAATCCTCTGACAAGCGTGTTACCATTAATAGGACCCAGTGTCTCCCGAAAAAACGGTGATTGTAATTCGGAGTCTGGTACCCGGAGGTGTGGCAGAACAGGATGGAAGATTGAAGCCAGTTGATCGACTGATGTCTGTCAATGACACCAATCTGGAAAATGCCTCCCTCAGCTATGCTGTTGAGACACTGAAAGGGGCTCCACAAGGTATCGTATTGATTGGTTTAAGCGCGTCACGGGACCGAACACGCCTCTTCTGTGTTAGCGTTGTGTTTTGTTATGGCCCCGGTTGACACAATCCTCTCCCTTTCAGGTAAAGTACGAATTGGTGTCGCAAGGCCAATCCCTGTTGAAGATGAAGATTATGAAGAGACTCCACCAGAAACTGCAAGGTACATGGGTGAACAGTTACTGGAAAGTAACGCACAAAACGGAAGAGGTAAACTCCGTCTTTTTAAATGTCCTGTTGTGTACCACAAAAGCAATTTTTGTCGTATAATCGCATACTAGGATTTAATGTCTTCACGTTTACGTGACAGTTTGCTAGTACCCGTTTATACTCCGGGGGGGGGGGTGCAGAGAGACACTGAATGGGATGTGTCTTGCCCAAGAATACAATACAACGGACAGGAAGCTACTGCATCTCTCGTGCGTAGTAAACAGTATACCATATAAAATCACCGCTTAAAAGCTTTCATTTGAACAGTAACACGCTAGGATTTCATCGACAGGCGTTAGTAATATTACCATTTTTTCCAACATAATCAACTCAAAGATGCATCACCTCAGTGTCCTGCTCAGAAACTTTTGAAAGAACTGGTATCCAGTGGATAGCGCAGCGCTTTTTGTTCACACTTATCTGGCGGATAGCGATTAATCCGTCTGATAACGTTATCCCCCTTTGAAGAACTGGGCCGTGATCGTTAGCTTTACTTGAAAGGTTACAGACGAGAGTTATATGTAAAGACGTCTTAGTAAAGCAGTCGTTAATCTGTTCTTTTCTCTTGCGACTCCTTCAGACAATCATGCTGCTTTAATGGGTGACATCGAAGTCGAAAAAGAGAGTGAGAATGAATTGAGTGACAGCGGAAGTGAACGTTCGTCCAAGTTTGACTTCGGTCCGCCATTGTTGTTCTCAGGAGATTCTATCGATATGGACAGTTTGCCAGAGAATATCAAATCTAGAATGGAGACCATAACCATTCGAAGGCAGATGGTTGGAAAATTAGGTAAGTTGAATGATATTGCAAGTGCTCATAGCTGATTGTTAGAAAGCGCTTTTCGGCTTTGTGTCGTAAAACTAAAACGAGGGTTATTCCCACGGCCAATCAGAGCAAAGGAGATTTTTACCATGAGCCAATGAGAAATTAGAAAAAGGAAAAAGTAAAGACGAATGGGTTTGAGCGCGGGAAAATGCACGTGATTAGTTCGCGGTTGGTTTTAATTTTGCTTCTGATTGGTTGAGGGATTGACGTTCGTTTTTATGAACCAATGACAGAGCGCTCTGAGACAAAACCAATGCAATGCCGGGTTACTACATCTGAGACTGCTCTGTTGTGGTGGCAGTGCTCTACTCACACGCTTTTTCCTTCAATATTTCCAGCGTGCGAACAATCTCGTTTGTAAATACGGTTACACGTTTGATTACTTCGACAAGGAACTTTGTTTCCGAAGGTGAGCTTCTCGTCGACTTTCTCTTTTGTAATTCTTCCTTTTTTCTTCTGCCAGGTCTTACTTTGAAGGGAGACGAGGATGGCTGTGGTTGTGTTGTCAAGTCAGTTTTGAGGGGAGGTGCTGTTGGACTGGACGGACGGATTGGGGTCGGGGATCATCTTGTTGCTGTCAATGATGAAAGCATGATTGGACTCTCGGGACACAGAGCCAGGTGCAGTTCTAAATAGTTGACCTTTGCAGGCACGTGTCCCCCTCCCGCTCCACTCTCCGGCCCTCCTTCCCCCCCTCTCCCCCCTCCCCCTCCCCCCCCCCAAAAAAAAAAAACGAGGGAAATTAACCATATTCACTAATCGCGGGAGGCAACGTTAATTTCGCAAATACCATATATCTGGAGATAAACAACAGTAATTTATAGTAGGTTTTAATTAACTAAGAATATCTTTGACCTCATGTATGTTTTTGATCGTTTTAATGTCCAATAGGTCTGTTCTCAGGAAGCAATCTTTGTTGAAGGACATCGTGTAAGTAAAGAAATCTGCTGAAGCTTTTCAGACTCAAGTAGACACTTTAATCCGCGTTGTTTGGTCTTAGCATTGAGTTCAGGTGAACTGAGCTCAGAAATAAAAAAGTCGTTTATGTAAAGTGGAGCAGTTATGGTAAACAGTTTATGGACCAATTTTTTAATTGTGTTTAGGGGCGAATTGAGTTACACGGGTTATAGCGAAAAAGATGTACCAATACGTACGAGGCCCGCATTTAGCAACGGGCCTTTGTGTTCCATTGTGAGTCTAAAATAAAGAGTCAGAAATTATACTTTAAAATTTCCTTTTTTTTTTCAGGTTCACATTCATTCGCAGCGAGATGACACCTGCACGGGCTATTCAACAGTCCCCCTCGTCATTCCTTGAAGACAGTTCTACGTCATCGGTGCATTCGTCCCAGTCTTTCGAGGCTGAAGCTGACCGAGAGCAGAAAAGGTGATTATGAGAGAAAAGTGTTGATCATTTTGTCACGAGCGTGAGACAAGGAAAATTCCAAGTCCCTTCCCCCATTCCCCCCTTCCCCCCTCTCCCTCCAAGAGGATCTAGCTTCGTCGAAGGTGTCCTCTGTGAAGGAATTGAGAGAGAGTAAATTTTTGGGCTCGGTCATCGATGAAAGAGATTTTTAACATGTATCATGGTGTGGGAATTAAATGAGACTGCCGAATTTGGACCAATTTTTCTATAGAGCCATTAAGCAGTAGCGTTAGATCTTGCTTTAGAGGAAATTTCCGGAGACGGAAGAGAAAAGTGTGATCAAGCGTGACGAAGCGTGAATGATCGTGATAAAGTATGACTGAGTATTAGGACATCAGAAGAGACACGGCGAAGCGTGATACAAGCCGTTTGACGATTTTTTTATTCTTGTAAAAATTTTAGGGACGGTGCCGAAGAGTACGACATTCCAGACTCTTTAGAAAACCAGTCTGACCTGCTTCAACCGGTTAAACAACCAATCTACAACGAACCTGGAGTCCATGTGGTTGAACTCAACCGAGAACCTGACAGTGGACTGGGGATAAGCATCATTGGTGGTAAAGCTGGCCCACAAGGCCAGGGCCTTAAAGGGATCTTTATCAGACACGTACTGGAGTCCAGTCCTGCTGCGCGTTTAGGAACGCTGGTGACTGGTGACCAGATATTGGAAGTGAGAGTCTTTCAGTTTGTGTTTCAAACACTTTTACTGACTTAAATGCGGTTTAAATTGATAATATTTCTGTGTGATCAGTCAAAGTGACTGTCTACTCTTGTCTACAGGTTGATGGGCACGATCTACGTGACGCCTCGCATGATGAAGCTGTTGAGATCATCAAACGGGCTAAGAATCCTGTGCGGTTTGTGGTCAAGACAGTGCCAACTTCCGGTTTAATCCCCCCGCCCAAACCACCACGCATGCCTGAACTCAGTGGTCTCAACAACGTAAGTAAAGAGTACTTTATATAAAATGACATTTAAAGTACAGAGAGACAAACAGAGTTATATAATTTTACCATTCGGCGATGGATAGTTCTTACCTCTTCTGTGTAGAGTTATTGACAAAGACGTTAAAATGTCTATTTTCTTCCATGGTTTTTTTACGTTAGAAAAGCTTCTTTAAAATATACTTTTTTATTTATAAATTAAATTACTCTGTGCGTTCCTCCTGTGCCAAGGAGGTGAGGATCGGCTGTCACTTCTGAATTAACTAATTGTGTGAGTAACATTTTATTTTTTATTTTTTATATTTTCCTGCGATCTTTAATGGCCATTGAAGACAAGAGAGCTCAATACATTTTTTCGTGCAATTTTTAATGCCAAAGACTTCTGTCTGCAGTGTGAAGTACTTTGAAATGTTGTAGGAAATAATTTTAAAAACAGAGCACCAAAACATCTTAAAAGACTTTTTTTAAAAACCGCTAAAATTCCCAGGTGTATGAATACAAAATACTTCGCCAACTATTGTTTCGTAGTCGTGACAGCCCAAACATTCTTAATAATTAATTAATTCTTTGTATCGATTGCGATTCAATTTTCTAATTGGAGAGTTACGCTTTTCATTATAAATTTCTTAATGCTGGAGAAGAAAACAATGCGATTTTTTGTACGAATATCGCCATTGTTAATGTTATCGCGAATTTCACAATGCTGAATACAAAGGCTAAGCCACTTATGAGATAAATCTGCTTCCGATGAGCATTACATTCCACAGACTGGAAGGAGTTTTCGCGTGGAAAGCTCGTACTCAGCTTAAGGCTCTGTACTTCTTGTGTTGGATAAGCATTCTTCGTATCGATGGAGGAAGCGCTGTATCGAAAACAATTTCTCTTCGGCGAAGATTATCATTATTCACGACAATTTTTTGACAAGACGCGAGGCTCTTAAGATTTTAGTAGAGATTAGAATCATAATTCGGATAGAACACGTAACCGTCGGTTCTTACTGTGAGTTGCAAGGATAAGCTGGTTTTTAGTGATTTTCATTTTTTGGAAATGCCGTTTCGCTTTCGTAAATCGAAAGGTTTAACCCTCGCCAGAGGTTACACATCTAAGGTAACAACATTTATGGACATTTACGTTTATTAATGACATTTCATTTCAAGGTCGTTTTGTGAATTGCATTGTTTTTGTTTGAGAACGCAAGATTTTCATGGTTCGTATTTTTTTATGTGAATCTTGCCAAGCTTCAAGGGAACCTTTAAATCAATTTTTGTTCTTAATTTGTGAATATAGGATTTTTCTGGCAAAGCAGTTGTTCTGGGTCTGTTGGACATTGTGTTAAGCAAACAATGAAATCGAAATTTGTACGTTCTGTCCGTTAAACAGTAACAAAATATACCTCACAAAGCCCAGTACGACTTCTGCGTAGAGGCCCTCCTGTCTCTTTTAAAACTATCTGAGATTCCGGGGGGG